ATGAGTTTCGTAAACAGTGTCGTTCGTGCATCTTCTCAATTTCTTTGCAGCATTAGTCCAACTTTCTCTTTGATGCTACTTTCAACCTTTCCTGTCATTCTCCCAATGTTCACCCAAGTGGGCAGCCAAAAGACAGCAACCAAAGGCGTCGCACGGAAATGCATGCTTAATGGTTGTATAAACTGAACTGAATTGAACTTCTTCAGTTACACTTCTTTCGACCTAATGGGCTATAAAAAATATATGAGCACTGCAGTTTGCAATACTTATTGCGTATTTATAAGAACCGACATTCTAAGGTATGGAATTAGGGGCATTGAGTGAAATAAAAACGTCGAATAGAGTAACTCGAATAAGAAACCGTGGTATAATAAAAGAAAGCTATTTTGCATGCAGGTTGACTGATGGTCTCAGAGTCCCAACCTTGGTCTTGTAGTCCTAATGTGGGCCATTGGTTGCGACTCAAGTCGCTCAACCACGCACGGTCAAGGAAAACTCTGCAACACAGAACTCACATCTGCGAATTCGTTGAAAATCGACTCACTTTTATCCCCACACCCTCCCCTCTGTTTTGCGACTACCACCAGATATACATGAAGAGCGACAGGAAGATGATTAACTTTTGTTTACTGAGTCGCTCCTAAAGAAAACCCCAATCTGATCAAGGCTCTCTGTTGTTCCGAAGAGGTTTTGATGTAGATAATGAAATAGCCGTAATGAAAATAAATCACTACTTTGGCGTTAAAATGGTCTAGACAAAATGTAAGTCTCGCTTGAGAACTGAAGTTTTTTATGTACGATATACTTATACATTCTTATGCTTCAAAACCTGTATAGTGTCAATACGAGGTTAACCTGTCAATCAAAACTAGGCTTGATTTTAGTTTACCAAATAGATCTTAAGTGATGAGGAAATTGCGGTCTTGTTCAACATTAGAAGTCAGATCGTTTGTGCTCAGTTAAGAAAACTGTCAACCATGATCCGTGAACACCAATCGACAGTCAGGAGATATGGCCCACTATCGTCGGTTTCTCTCCAAGAAGATCAAGAACATCTGTGTGACTTCGAATCAGTGAAGATTATCCACCAATCCCGGTCAAAACACGCGAGAGAATTTCTCGAGGCTTGGCATTCTTCAATCAGCTCAATAAACAGGCACATCGAACTGGATCACGTGTACACGCCAAAGGATCAAATGACGCAACAAAAAGGTAACGCCGTGACCAGAGAACCAACCGAAACCGCAGTCAGGACGAAAGGACAACCCCCTCCCCTCTCACTCATCTCCTCGCAGCAGTTTAACGGCGAACCGAGTCGAACACAGTGAGAACAGGGGACAAAGATAGTCGGTGGAGAAGAACATATGTATAAACGAAAGAGTACAAGCAGAACACTGCCACTTCACATGCATTAATGACTTCACCTCGGCTTGTGAGAAAACGTTTGCAAACGAATTACCAAGCTCGGCGAACAGGTGCAATGGAACAATTGCGTTCTTATGCTTAACAAGATCGTACTTGATTGATAAGGCATCTAATTTTGTGTTAAACCTTCAAAAATCCAGCCACTCCCCCTCAAATTAAATACATCTGATTGTTGTTTTCATGAATAGATTTCATAATGCCCCAAACAGTTTTTAATTGCGTGTTACCCCATGCGTTCGCGACCAGGACTTTAATGAATTCTGTTTCATGTTTTAGTCCCGTTTCAAAAATTTCTGTGACCAGTCCATTCATTTCCTTGACCATGCAAGAACTGTTTTTGTCTTATTTGTTTGAAAGTTATTGGTAATAACCAACTCACAGATGCGGACAAAAGCTAATTTCTTGGAACGTATTTTCTAGTTGCGTATTCCGGATCAACGACCACTGTATCAGCGATTGGAAGAATGGTCGTTCAGTTCGGATACGAAAATGATGATGGTTAGTTGCATTCGCAACGGACAAACGGTATGTTTCTATTTGTTTTTATCTCCCTCGAGTCATGAGTGATAGATGATGCCTTGTGTCCACGTCAGATCCCTTCCTCTCAGTGTCTAACTTTTAGACCATCATTTATCGTGCGTAATACCTCACATTAAACACAATATGTATGTGCTCTTATCTGTTTATATTGTCATTTCTTCTAGTCGAATGTCTTATGTCAGAATGGTTTTCTGGATTTCGATGACGGTTCCTGGCGCATCATCAGTTGTAGGACACCTCTATAGAAAAAAGTAATTTACTGATGACAGATATTGTAATCTCATTTTGTCAACACCGTATCTTTGAGCATTTGGGTCTGCCGTTTTGGCATGGAGTCCACGACTTTGACCATCCCATTGCATTTTTCAGTTTCCTCCAGAACGTGGCACATTCTGGTCTGTAACGACCACTCTCAAGGGGGCTACCTCGTCTGTCTTAGCTATCTTCCACACGTCTTCAACAATTACATTCAGATCCGAGTTGTTGGGCCAATATGGTATTGCAAACTGAAATATATTTCCAAATTACGGGTCATGACGCACGAGTTCGACCAATGCATGTATTAAATCGTGTAGCGCCTGCATAAGCATGCACGTATCCGGAGTTTTTCGTTTTCCTCCAAAATTAAGAAAAAACAACAACAACAATCTAGCAAACATGTTCATCAAGTTAGTTAGTTTGTTGTGTCTGAATTTTTGTTGACTGTCTGAATATGTGGGACTGGTTTCTCTCTTGGCTTTGGTTCAATGGATGCTGGGCTAATTTTTCGTTCCACGCACAGGACACGAATAAACCGGTGCTGGTTGTCCGAAACAACCACCCCTCTGTCGATTCAACTCGCTAGCTTCATTACGGGTGAGATCTGTGAAATAAAAGCGCAGAAACCAGTCATTATGAACTATCAATTTTATATATTCAGTTTATCATGATGTTTGAAACCTGAAATTTATACCTGTCGAATTCCTCCCGCTATGGTTCATAATCACTTTACGGGAAATAATGCGCGGAGAGCTCTGGATCCCGAAGAATCCCAAACTGAAATCTTGTATGATGATATACGTCCAATCCTCAGCTGATTTCCTCGTTCTACGAATGAATGCCATTTTCAGCGTTTTGGTAATCGGTTTACATGAAAGTTCCGTAGTATTTGGAACCAAGACACCAATGCAATGAATTGTATTGTATTGTATTGTATTTGTAACTTGTGTCAGGATATATGCTTACATTTCAGTTAAAAATGTACACTGTTCGTCACGCAGAATGAAATAAAGATAACAAAAACGAAAGGTAAAGAATGTCGGTGATATACGTTTCGTGTAAAAAACATTTGACGTAGTTCATTTGATACCTGTTCCTTTTTGGTAAGTAGTCAGGCCAGGTAGGGTACAGGGGGATTTTTATAAATGTTAATGCGAGAGGGTAGCTGTCGAAATGAGGAGCGTATGGACAGATGGGAACGACAAGATGAAAGATCAGAATGTAGTGGATGAAGAGGGGCATCTAGAATCTTGTGAGCACATTTAAAACAAGAGTTGATGTGACCATCAATGAGTTCTGTGATTAATAAATCAATTGGGATTAGTGATGCACGACTGATTATCACCAAACCACGGCGAATTGTTTTGAAGTCGTGTTTTAAAAGACCGGGAAACACTACAGGGGAGCAATAAAGTAGAATGAGTAAAACGCATTGATGAACGAAAGATGACAGGACTGTGTGTGAGGTTCGGAATTGCCTGAGTTTGCGTAACTGAAAAGATAGGCTTCTCAGTTTTCCCACACAGTTGTTAATATGTGTAGACCAACGAAGATTGCTGCCGGTGGTGAGACCCAGGTACTTCACTGAGGTCATTCTAGA